CGCTAATAAATCTAGATAACAGGTTGATATGTGATTATCAAAATGGATCACTGAGTATCCAGTACAATCCTAGAGGAGGTCAATCGCTAGCTCAGTGTTAACATCTCTGACTGAAGCGCTCACTGGGTAACACGGTTTCTAATCTCAGAAGGGGAATGAGTTCCTCCAAGATTGCAGACATGCCGTGCTGATTGATGAGTGCTGACAAGCACGAAACCTAGGTCAGGTAGGGCTTCCTGTGGCCCATTGCCTCCAGCCATATAACATCAACGCTTCACGGTGGACTGTGATGACAAGTCACCTAATATGGTAGCTCCATGAAAAACTTGACTGAGAGAATTCAGTCTGCACCAAAAGATAGGGAGTGAAGCGGTTGATGGAGCGTGTTGACTGCTTCACTTATTTCGGGAGTTCCATTCGCCAGCCCCAACGGTTTGTTCGCTGAAGAAAACTCAGTACCGATAAAGAAGGCTTGTTTGGCATATGCCAATTTACGCCATCTCTGGTGTAGTAGGCGTCATATCCGGCCAGCTATCGACCAAAGGACCTATGCACTGCTCAATAGTTTGCTCTGTCCTCCTTTATGGCTGTGACCGAGACATGGCCATTGAAAGTGGAAAACATGAAAAGGCTAGCTGTCTTTGAGCAGAGGTGTCTGCGTTCTATCTCCCGTGTCAGGTGGTATGATAAGGTGAGCAATATTGAGGTTAGGCATCGGTCGAGTGCTACGTAAAGAGCGGAAATCAATCGACCAGGCCGTGAAGCTACATCGATTGAGATGGTTAGGATAAGTTTTGATTTGATACTAGTAACTAGTGCGATGTGTCTAGTCCTTCGTTTACTGCAGACTGAATTCTATCAGTCAGGTTGTAAAGTGGCCACCATTTTAGTTAGGTCGCCATCACGGTGCACATTGATTTGATGATATCATATCGTTGGAGGCGATCGACAGAAAGCCTTGGACCTAGGTTTCGTGCTAGCTGGCACTCACCACTCAGCAAGGCGTATCTGCAACCTTGAAGGAACTCCTATCCCTTCTGAGATTCGAACCCGCATCACCCACTGCTGCAGAGACGTTATCACTAAGCTATTTGGGCTCGCGATCAATCGCCTTCAAGGGACTCATGCAGATACGCCTCTCTTACTGATGAGTGCCACCTAGCACGAAACCTAGGTCCGGGGCTTCCTGCCGATTGCCTTCAACCATATGATATCATCAAATGACTAGGATATGTGTTACGCATTGTCTGACTGGCAATGTCAACTGACTGACATAAGATCAGGCTGGAAAAGAGTCAAACCAAAGCATGGAAGCAGACCATGAAAACATTTACAGCTACTTTGAGCCAGCCATATAGGGAAGTGTATACTGTGTGGCTGGCTGGTTGGGATCCTCAGGATTCTAAGAACCAATGACAGCTGCACACACCTGGTGATATGGTTCGAAATCATTCTCGATGGCTGGCGTAGATGCATCCACTCCTTGTGATTTTTTAATATCCAATAAAGCTCTAATATTCTTCCATATTACTATTCTTTTTGCCTTATATTTCTGTTCATAATCTCTCTTGCTTTGTGGGCTACTGGACTGTGGTAACTCCAACTGGTGCACTTCTACGCAAAGTTCCATGTTGAAATTCAGTTAGTTAGTTAGTCAATCGACCAGGCTACATCATCATTGACAACGGTTACCCATAAAAGTTCATCGACAAGTATGGGAGACGTCATGTTGAAAATGTGGAAAGCAGCACAGTAGAGAAAAAGCCTATCTTTCTGCAGCTTGCATTCAAAGGTGATGATACTGCTAGTAGAATAAGATGCAGACTGAACGCTGCCCTGAAAAGAACATATCCAGCCGCCAAGCTTGTATGTGTTTATCAAACAACTAGTTGTTTGAGACAATCAAAAGTGTACAAATACCCACCTCATGTTACCTCCAACTGTGTCTACCAATTTACATGTTGTACGTGCCAAAGCACATACATCGGAAGAACAGAGAGAAGGGTTATTGTCCGCATTTCTGAACACATACCAAACAACCTGAGACTGAAAGGTCCACAAGTATTAAACAGTGCGATTGCGCGTCATCTATTGGACACTGGTCATATTGTAGACAACCTGAAGTCGTTCAAAATAATCAACAAGCAAAAGAAACCTAGCTTGCTACGCTTTGCTGAAGCAATTGCTATGAAACGACTTAAACCAAATCTATGTACGCAGAAAGAGACAGTGGTGAATCTTGCACTGCCCTGGTGATAACAAAATATACAACTTTTATGAGTCACCCTTTTTCTTGTTTAGAAAACTATATTCTCCTCTCATCTAAACATGACTCACCCTACCTTGTTCTTTTCTTTCTTTTTCTATTGGCTATTAGATAGAACATTATCTTTAGTTATGTAATCTACCTTATTTGTTATGCTCTTTCTAGCTAAACCTTGTTTCTATACACACATATATATACGTAACTTTGTTTTTGTTTCCAAGCCTAATTGTCTAATTATTCTATAAATAGTCAGTGTTTGTAACTCTTACTTAGTTAAATCATTCCGGACTAATGTTACTTTTATTTCCTACCAATTACTCTTTGAATTTTTAATATATTTGTGCGTTGAAGTTTCTGTAGCAATTTTTTAAAGTTTTGGGGGTGGAGTTGCTAGCACCATGCCCCAACTCTCCCTCTTTATCCAGGGGGAAGACTCACCTCACCTTGCCTAGAAAACTAGTGAGCTAGTAATCTAGGCGAGGTGAGAAGACAGGGATACCCTGGACCGACGTGGAGAACCTAGAAGACCTGGATTTCGCGCGTGGATGATTTATGTTTGATGTCACACAAAATCGAAGACTTACAAGCGAAAACCGACAAACTGGTCGAAGAAGCAGCAAAGACAGGACTCCAGGTAAACATAGACAAGATGGAGGTTATGAAAATAAACAATCAACAACAACAACAGCAGCAGCAACATCCAGCGCCAATCACCATCAGCGGGAGGGATTTGAAAGAGGTTACTTCATTCACTTATCTAGGGAGAACTCTCTCAACTATATGAGGAACGGACGAGCATGTCAAATCGAGAATCGGGAAGGCGAGAAACACATTCATCAACCTCAAACCAATCTGGAAATCTTCCGCTGTCACTCAGCCTGCATCAACAACAAAATTCGGATTTTTAATACAAAACGTCAAGTCAGTCAGTTCTTCTATACGGATCAGAAACCTGGTGGGTCACAAAGAATATTTCCAACAGCCTGCTGCAGATCCTTATCAACAACTGTCTTCGCTCTATACTGAAGATCAGATGACCGGAAAGAATCACCAACAAGAAACTATGGGAAAAAACGAAACAAGAAGCAATCGCCCAACAAATATGCAGGAGAAAGTGGAGATGGATTGGACACTCGCTGAGGAGGCCGCTGGGTGACATCGCGTGTCAGGCCATAGCTCCAGTGGAACCCGAAAAGGAAGCGGAGAGTAGGACATCCAATGGTGACATAGAGGAGATCGTGTGAAGAAGAGTTGAAAGAGTATGGACTAACATGGATGCAGGTGAAAAGCACAGCAGAAGAGAGAAGCAAGTGGAGACGTGTAGTTGAAGCCCTATGTTCCACTAGGAACCCAAGGGAACAATAATAATAATAATTACTCCTTATGATCGCGGAAAAGTATGTTCAAATCTTTAATGTAATTCATAGTTTTTTTTATCGTTCAGATTGTATGTAACCAGTTGAGAAGAATCCTCGAAATAATAAAAGATGAGCTCATATTATCCTGGTACAATTATTGTTCTTGCTTTGTTCAAGTTTATTAAATGGAAAGAATTCCATGAAGTTCATCATTGTCAGGCAGACATTTTAAAACGCCGCAGATTAGTAATTGTCTGTCTGTTTCCGACATAGAACTTTGCACATATGTGCGGCACTTCGAGTCGCCACACTTCACCCAGCATACAAAGCCAAAGAAGAAAGTAGGAGAAAATCATAATATACGCAGTAAACAGAGGTGTGAGACAAAGAAATAGTAATAACGAAGAACAAAACACTTTCATTGGAAATCATAAGTCACAAGGAGTGGATGCATCTGCACCAGCCCCTGAGAACGATTTTGAGCCATGTCACCAATTGTCCCCAGACTCCATTGGTTTTTACCGTCCCGAGGACCCTAACCAGTCAGGAAGTCTACATCTTCCTACGTGATTGGCTTAAACTAACTGTTGTAGATTTCATTGACTGGTGCTATGTTTTCGTTTGACCGCCGCTAGCTCTTTTCCAACCTGACCCTATGTCAGCTAACATTGCCCATCGACGAAGGCGATGACTAGGCATGCGTAATACATGTCCTAACCATTTCAGTCGATGTAATTTCACAGCCTCGTCGACTGATTTCCCTTCCTTATCTAGCACTCGACCTATGCCTCACCTCAATATTGCTCACCCTATTATACCACTTCACGCGGGAGATAGAATGCAGACACCTATCATCGAAGACAGCTAATCTTTTCATGTCTTCTGCTCTCAATGGCCAGGTCTCACAGCCATAAGGGAGGACGGAGCGAACTGCTGAGCAATACACCAGACCTTTGCTCGATAGTCGGATATCACGTCTACGCGAGAGACGGCGTAAACTGGCATAAGCGAAACTAACCCTCTGTATTTGTACTAAGATTTCGTCAGAGATCAACCCGTTGGGGCTGATGGTACTTCCCAAATAAGTGAAGTGGTCAACGTGCTCTACCACTTCACTTCCTATTTCTAATCTAGGGGTCGGTGTAGTCCAATCCTGTAACATCATCTTACATTTGGCAGGAGCGAATCGCATGCCAAACACTCTTAGATTGCTGCTCAAGGTGTTCAGTAGACTCTGCATTTTGTCAGAGTCCTTGCCTAGAAGGACTATATCGTCCGCATATTCTAAGTCAACGAGATTATTCCCTGGTAGCAAGTCAATCTTTGAGTCGCTGAAGTGAGTTAGGGTAATTAAACAAAGATTGTCATTTAGTTAGATTTTCAATCAATGAATTTATAATTCTTAGTTTCTCTTTTGAATATAAAATAGATACAATTCTGTAACGTAGTTTTTTGAAGAAAAAACTGAAAAAATATTTACAAAAAGAAAGGAGCTTTTCTCGTATAGTTTTATCATTCATCAAATATAATATGCTTCGAGTCATTTTTAATCAAAGGTGTGCAAAATGTAGAAGACACCACTGTAGGCGGCTTATTTTGTTGTGACTTTTGTTTTTGACGTTTTTTCGCCTGTGAAATTCGATGTCGTTCGGCGGCGGTAACTTTCGATTTGACAATACTTTCACAATAAGCTTGTTCACTGGGACCCTCGAGAATACGTGTCATCACTACTCCTTGGAGTTTTGAAGAATGAAGACATAGAAGTAATTTCTCTGCAGCTTCAGCACTTTTCATACGAATGAACAGAGGATATGATTCATCCCCATCTGACGGTGATGTTGATGATGATGCATTTACATTAGGATTAATACAGATACAAGAACCAAACTGATTGACACTGTCTAGTAAACTTTGATCAGGACTGGGATCAACATGAGCAACAAAGCGTAAGAGATCATTTGGGACAAGAAGATTCTTCTCTAGGCTAACACGTAAACATCGAGCAAAAGATAATCGTTTCGGGGCTAATAAGGAATCGTCACATAAGGTATCATTGAATGTCTCCTGTGTTTTATGCCCAGTTGGAACTAAATTTGATGGCCAGTAAATCTATAAAGAAAAAAGGAATATGAATATATATATATATATATTTCAATAAACAAGTAGATGACAAAAAGAACCTTATTCAATGCATGAAAAGGTTAGCTAGCTGTCTTTGATCATAGGTGCCTGCGTTCTATCCCCCATGTGAAATGGTATAATAAGGTGAGCAATAATGAGGTTAGGCTTCGGTCGAGTGCTAGGTAACGAGGAGGGGGGATTAATAGACGAGGCTGTGAAGTTACATCGACTGAGATGGTTAGGACATGTGCTACGTATGGCCGCCTAGCCATAGCCTTCCTCGACGGGCAATGTTAGCTGACACAGGGTCAGGCTGGAAAGGAGCTAGCGGCGATCAAACTAAAACATGGCTTCATCAGTCAATGAAATCCACAACAGTTAGTTTCAGCCACATAGGAAGATGCAGATTTCCTGGCTGGCGTCCTTGCGATGGTAAAAACCAATGTCTGGAGACAATCGGTGGCTGATGCAGATGCATCCACTCTTTGTGACTAACAATTTCCAATGGAACTATATTGTTCTTCGTTATTACTATTCCTTTTGTCTCATATCCCTTGTCTACAGTCTCTATTTTGCATTTGTTTTTACTTTCTTCTTTGGCTTTGTATGCTGAGTGAAGTGTGGCGACTCGAGCTGCTGTACATCGGTGCAATGTTCTATGTTGAAACCATTCAGTCAGTCAATCAATATTCAATGCAGTTCACTTACTTAAGCATACTACATTATCTGAGCTAAAAGAATAAGCATGGTAGCAAAATATACCATCGTAGAAATTTAAGGTAGACGCATATTTTCAAGAATTACTTTGTAGGGATTTGATTTGTTACAAGTTTGACCACGGATTGATATCAGTTTGAGAGCGATTGAAAACCAGCTGAGAATACTTGACAGTTGTTTCATCCGCCTACTTTGGGACCCATCAGAAGTACGCACCCACCAAGGTTCGAACCCAACTACTTCTAGTTACAAGTCAAGCTCGTAGACTATTCAGTCACTGGGAAGCAACCCAATGGCTCATGAATTCTAAATCCTTCAAAAGGTCAATCGTCAACCCGAATAGCTAGCTCAGTGGTAACGTCTCTGACTACAGCATTAGGTGACACAGGTTTGAATCTCAGAAGGGGAATGAGTTCCTCCAAGATTTCAGACATGCCTTGCTGATTGATGCGTGCCAACAAGCACGAAACCTAGATCAGGTAGGGCTTCCTGTGGCCCGTTGCCTCTAGTCATCAAACATCAACACTTCACGATGAACTTTGATGGTGAGCCACCTAACATGGTGGCCACATCGCAAACTTGACTGATAGAATTCAGTCTGTAGTAAACTAAGGACTAGACACATCACACTAGTTACTAGTGTCCAATCAAAATTCTAATTTCTACCGATTCGTGATTTTAGCACGACCGCCAACCAACCAATGTCATTAGCGGCGAGTATTTGTCTTCACTCCTGATCAGATGGACCCCACTGGTCACGATTTCTCAGCAGAACACTCCAGTCAATGCCTGGTACAATTTGGCACCAAAAAGATGAGCCACACAATAATAAAAAAACAACATAGATTAATAGTTAAAATATAGTTGGAGAACGGATAAAGAACTTCATCAGGAAGGAAAAAGCCATACTTAACAAGTTCAAACAGTATTCGTCAACTATCATCGGGAAGGGAAGAAAAGAGGAAATTGCAGCACGTTCACCATTGATTACGATTCTTGACCATATGCGATAACGTTTCGAGCCATCGATTTGAGCTATCTTTCGGACTCCAACCAGGGTGTCGTGACGCACCAACCGATGCTAATCTAGCACAAATATCCTTCATCTCACGATGCCACATCATGAACTGACCACCTCTCCACCTTTTCCATCCCGTCCCAGGGCTAGTGAACAGAGACCTGTACATGTCCAAGCCACCAAAGCCGGTGTTTCCAGATGACGACACTCAACGAATGGTGATCTCCCCTGTGTCCAAACACAAGCCACCGAACCTCAGAATTACTCACGCTATGGTATCATCCAACTCAAGCAATCCTGCGGAGACAGCGATGACCGAACACACAGAGCCGCCCCACATCCTCAGCTCGGAGAGGCCAGGTTTCACAGGCGTAGAGCGAGACAGCCCATACTGAAGCATTGTATACACGACCTTTGACATCCAGGCTAACGTCGCAGCGGCATCACAGGTGGCTCAAGTTAACGTATGCCACTCCAGCCTTCATGATACGGCTGGAAATCTCATCCGTCACCCCTCCGCCAGCACTCACACAACTACCCAGATACACAAACTTATCAACAACTTCAAGCGGTTCACCTGCACGAGTGAGTGCAGGTACAGGCTTCTGCCAATCTTGTAACAGTACTTTGCACTTAGACGGTGCAAAGCTTATACCATACTTACAGACACTGATCGCCAACTGATTAAGCGCGATTTCGGCAGCCTGCATGCTATCGCAACGTAAGATGATGTTGTCTGTATACTCGGGGTTGAAAAGTCTCTCTCCAGGGTGCAGATCTGCATCACCTTCACGCATATCCTTCAGAGCTGACTCGAGAATGGCATCGATGGTAAAGTTATGGAGAGATGGAGATATCGAGCAACCCTGTCTAACCCCACTGTTGGTTGGGAACAGTGATGATATTTGGTTGTAGGCCCTCATTCTACCTGAGGTGTTTCTGTATAGAATGTTCACAAACTTCTCACTTACACCCCTTCTCTAACAGACAGTTCCAACGAATCGAAGGCAGCCCTTATATCAAGAAACACAACAATCGTTGGCCTGCAATACGTGTGGCAGTGTTCCAACAACTCACGAAGAGAGTGAACACATGATCAATGCATCCATGTAATACATTCCCTAGGATACATTTACCACTATCTAACTGGTCTTATGAATTCATTGTTAAATATATAAATATGATAGTGTATAGCATATGAAAATAAATCGTCAAAAAGGAAATTCCCTCCTCTATTTACGCCTTCTTCTTCTTCTTATGACTCAAATATGGGAATATTCTATCCATTAAATCAGTTGTAATTTTATATTTATCAATATAAAATATTTTAATTTTTAACTGAAAGGCAAAATCAGTCGAAAAACTATTGTTTTTAAAAAATATATATATATACCTTAACTCACCTGTACAACCGATTTGAGGACATAATCTTTTGGAAGTGATTTCGGCTTAGACAATGTTTGGGTCTGGAGTGAAGATTCGGATATTTCAGCATCTACTACTGCTCCTACTGCATCACAAGATACTTCTTTCTCTTCCATACTTTCATCATGATCATTATTCATGTGATCATTTCCCTGGAATAATTCACTCGTTTTACGACGCATTCTTGCAATCCATGCTTGTTGCCATAAGTAGAATTTCTCTTTCCAAAATATCCAATCGGCATAACGAAAAACGCGTAGTTTCGATCGACACGGTTCACAATGACTATTATTATCTCTGACATAATTCAGTATAGATTCTGTAGAACTATCTCCGAGTATAATGGAATAATCTAGGTGGAACAAACATAGAGTGATGAAAGCACAATGGGAAAGGAGACATAACACATACAACAATATTTGAAATACTTCAGTTAAGAGAGTTGAGTATAGCTGACTGCTTTTATGAATAACAGTCAAAACCGGATAAATCTTAAAAGTAGGCTTTTTTACTCCTTTACGTTCCCAGTGGAACACAGGGTCTCAATATAGAGGCTTGAATTTTCTGTAGCAGTGGTGCTTATTATTTTTACAGGATGGGGTTGCTAGCCTCATGCCCAACATTCCCCCTTTACCAGTCTTATTACCAGCTTAGAGAGGGAGTCGAACCCCGGACCATATGCGTGATCCAGTACTTATTACTTACAAGTAATAAGTATTGGTCATTACACTGGTTAACAATATCCCAGCTTGGAAAACTGATACGATAGTGTAATCAAGGGAAATTCTCGACATCGCTAGTGAGTGCTTAAATTATAACTCACCAATTAAAGTGAGGTATCTATAACTTGAAGCTCAACGCTCCGAACCCTATTGATGTCGCACAGGTCACCACCAGCTAAATTACTCCACCATTTCGGCATGGGGGAGGGTTACATAAATCAACGAAACCGCTGGGTTTAAACATAGAACTTTGCACAGAAGAAGTACAACAATTCAAGTTGCCACACTCCATGCAGCAGATAAAGGTAGACAAGAGAGAAAGAAGAAGTGATTCAAGAGAACTAGGATGAGCAGAAATGTGAGGGAGAAACAACAGGGTTCTAATGAATATGAAAAATCACAAAGTGTGAATGCATCTGCACCAGCCATTGACAAAGATTTTCAGCCACTGGTTCTTAGCATTCCAAGGACCCCAATCAGCCACACGGTCTGCTGCTATATGAAATTGGTGACGTGGCTTTAGGAGACTATCGATGGTGGCTTTTTGGTTTCCGTCGTTATCAGTACACAGAGTGAAGAGGAAGTGAAGGGCCATTAAGTAGAGGAGTTGCATTAGTAGGAGGAAGGCAAGATAATAGAGATGAAGATGAAGACAAAGGTGAGTGAGGATTAGAGAGGTTTCGTGTGCACTTCGGATTGTGAGGGCGATTGTTACTTCCCGGCTACCCACACCGTGGAAGTTGGTTGCGTGACCGCAGAGCCACACGGTCTACACCTTCTTAAATGGTTGGCTTAAACTAAATGTCAAAGACTTCAAGGACGGATGCGAAGTCTTGGTTTGACCACCACTGGCTCTTTTCCGACCTGATCCATCCTATGTCAGCTAACATTGCCCGTCGAGAGAGGCGATGGCCAAGCATACGTAACACATGTCCTAAACGTCTCAATCGATGTAAATTCACAACTTCATCGATTGATTTCCCCTCCTCGGCGCCTAACCTCAATATTGCTCACCTTATTATACCACCTAACACGGGAGATAGAACAGACACTTATGATCAAAGACAGCTGGTCTTTTCGTATCTCCCACTTTCAGTAGCCATGCTTCACAGCTAGCCATAAAGGAAGGAGAGGACGGCTGAGCAGTATACATGCTCTTTGATCCATAGCCAGCCGGATACCACGTCTACTAAGTCAGAGATGGCGTAAGTTGGCATATGCCAAACGAGACTTCTGTATCCGTGCTCAGATTTTGTCAGCGATCAACCCGTTGTGGCTAGCTGATGCAACGCCCCTCATATAAGTGAAGTGGTCAACACACTTTATCAACCGCTTCACTCCCTATCTTTAAGCTAAGAGTCAATGTAGTACAGTCCTGTAGCATCATCTTACATTTGACGGAAGCCAAACATTCTAAGATTGCTGCTCAAGGTGTTCAGAAGACTCTGCATTTTGTCAGTCTTCCACCCACGTGGGAGGACTATATCATCCACATACTCATAGTCAATGAGGTTATTCCCTGGTGGTAACAAGTCAATCCTTGAGTCGCTGAAGTAAGTTAGGGTTAATTCCATTAGTACATCTATGATGAAATTAAACAGAAATGGGCATAGTGGGCATCCCTGACGAACAACACTGGTTGACATCACTTCAAATGACAACTCGGCACAACCTCGTAGACAGCTGCGTGAGTTCCAGTAGACTGTCTTGATCAGTACAATGTGCTTTCTCGTCACTTTCTTCACAACAAAACATTGTAATAGTACGTTTCACTCGATGGAGTTGAATTCCGCCTTCAGGTCAAGAAATATGATGATTGTTGGACGCCTGTAAGTATGCCTATGTTCCAGAATCTGTCAAAGGGTGAAGATATGATCAATACACCCTCTATCTGGTCTCCTCATGTTTGTTCCTCTTGAGCATCACTTAATCTTCACATGATTACTGAGGCTAAAACTTTAGACACTATATTAAAAAAGAAACTAAAATAAATGAAACAGTATTAATCAATCAACTGCTCTTATAAAAAAAAATTACCAAATATCATAAAATTAACACTTACATTCTTTATCGCATGGATTAATAGCAGTGTATCCAGCTTGACGCAAATGTTTGAAAGCTGCTATCAGCTGTTTATTCTTTCGGGAACAACAACGCCAGACATATCGTCTAGCAAGCATTTGCTCAAATGAAAAGGAAGCTTTAGCTGCAAGTCGTGGTTTCCATGCAGATGCAGGACATTCAGATGATTCAGACGCTTCTAATGAACGTATCGAATGAATGATGGGAAAAGAAACACATCAAGATCACTTTTTTATTTGATATAAGAAACATACACCACTAACAGTAAAAGTAAACGAGGTTCAGTAGGTTCGGAGTGAGGACAAATACTCGCCTCTGATGATATTGGCTGGCAGTGGTCGCACTAAAATCACCAACTGCTAGAAGTTAGAAATCATGGGTCATTGAGTTCCCGCCCAAGTGACTGGATGGTATACGAGCTTGCCTGCTAACCGGAACAGCCTGGGTCCCAAACCCGAAGGTAAGTGCGTACTGCCAATGAGTCCCGAACTAGGACGAGACGACTGTCCAGCACTCCCAGCTGGTTTTTAATGGTCCTGTAATCGATATCAATTCGTGGTCAAACTAGAAACGGATCAAATCCCTACAAATTAACCTTTGAAAAGAAAATATTCTATATTGACCGGTCAGAAACGATCTCCAATTTCCTACAGCCGGTCTCCGATTTGTCATTTATAATAGACATATACCACACATTACGATTCTCTTAAGATCGTAGACACATCCCTTCAGAGATTTAGACAGAAGTGTGACTAAATTAATTACGAAAGACATACTTTGTCAAAACAAAGAATTTTCGCACTAGGCTATATACTACCGATTGATTGAGGTGAGTAGTTGCAGCATAACATCCATATCAAACAGTAGTGCTTGTCAGCTAGTCAGTTCGAGGTGGTTTAAACACCGAATGGCTGCTTACCCCGTCTATAGAAGATCTCATTAACGGTGTATGCCCGGTTTGACTCAGTTCAGAGAGTCAAATCAGTTCAAACGACTTGACTACTTGCTGGTCAAGTACTTAGTCGAACTGGTCATACTGTGGTGAGAGCTGGCTGCTAGCCAAACTGGTAGACAGTAATTTACGTCAATGTTTACGTCCCCAATATTGGTGGTGAGACAAATAAGAACAAAGACTGACTCAACAACCAACCACAGCAGACTTTGAGTAGGTGGATACAATTTGCAGATAGATAATCTGAACTTCAATAAATGGTCACAAAGAGATGAAAGATTAACTTTCAGTGGGAAACAACCAATCAGAAGACTGTTTTTTTCTAATAACAATAATCTATAATAATGTACATGAAAAGCTATAAATATGTGTTGATTTCCTTAATGAACGATCTGGTGCCTGGCCCTTGTCTTCTGTTGTTGCAATACCATACTGCTGGTTGACATGAATGGCATTCAACTACTCATTTCAATTAATCAGTAGTATATTTATTTTTATGCAAATATTCTTGCTTTCTTTATTACCACCATTTATGGTACCAAGTAGATCACATATTATATGATATGTAAGATGAAGTTTCATCACTCGAACTGTATAGATTGCAAAATGGCTAATCAATTTTTGTAAATTGTGAATTTGGTTTCACAAATTTTAAGCATCAAATTTTACAGCTTAATGAATCCTGCAATCTATGAGAATGAAAATCGATATATATCTCTCATCTGGATGACAAACAGTAAAAAACAAGAAGCTGGTAAAGCTTCTTGGAAAAATACAGTATTAATGATATTAAACTGCACCGTTCACTAATTCAGGGTGCTTTTTAAAAGAGTGAAGAATGAATTTTAAGGCGTTATCATCAAATTGAAAATGTCAAAGATATTCCAACTGATATATGTCCAAACCAAGTTCACTTTTAACAGTTTGAAAAAAATCTGGGCATTGGGTATATGATATGATATGATATCTCCCAGAATCCAGTTAACTTAAGAAGCATGCAGAATCAGACGTCGGTGAACTACCATTTCTAGACTGCCTGGCTAGTTATCTATATATATTCAGGAAAAAACAACGACTCCAATAAATATTTAATATTTAGACTTCGGATCATCACACCACATCAGCGCAAAGGTATCAGTTGTTTCAAGTCTTCTTAGGTGAGCACACCCTTTGATGTTAACGGATGAGAAAGAAAACGAAGAAGAAATATCAAACATTAATGGGACTCTCAAGCAAAACAACTACCCAAAGAACTTCACCAACAAAATCAACACTGACAGTAAGTATGGTCTAAAACGTGTTCCGAAAACATAGACCTCAACAGTTGTCATTCCACATAGAGCGGAGACGTCAAACGATATCAGGAGAGTACTCAATAAGCATAACATCAGAGTTTTCTTCAAAACATCAGACACACTGCGAAACAACATTGTCCATACAAAAGAGCAAATCCCTAAAGACTCTCTGTCTAGTTGTGTCTATAAAATAAAGTGCTTGGATTGCGGTGCGATATACAAACATCTCAAGAAATAAAAATCAGAAGAAATGAACACCGTAGAGCCGGCTCTGTTCGACCACCGAGAAAGCCAGTTAGTGAACTAGAAGAGCTTAAAAAATCATTAGTCATAGGTCAACACACTATAGAATCAGGTCACAAAATTGATTCTAACAGTATTGGAATAATCCAGAAAAACTTCAGAAATCCCAAAGAAGGTCTAACATAAGAAGCACTTCATAGCAAATGGAATCCAAATTGTCTGAATATTCTGAATGATGGACTAAAACAGGATCTGACCTGGTTACAACACCCTTCCACCCCCCATGAAGTGACAAAATCAACACGAATGTGATAAGCAAGTTCACTACATAAACACACGCTGCTTTTATAATTTTACACACTTATCAAATCCAACAATCTACACCTGGTTTTGTTATCTTTACCAACTGGCCAACTTGACAACGTGAAAATGACCCAATGCTGAGGAACGATGATTAAGTTGTCATATATAAGCTGAGATTTTGTAAATTCTGGCTTAATCATACTTTCATAAAGCTATTAACAGCAGCATTAAATAGCGAAACGTCAGTAAAAACAATGATATCGTTTTGCTCTTTCTCATTCATTGGGAAATACAAGAAAAAACCTTCATTTTAATGAGTATCCCAACTGAATTAGATGAACTTGTACCATGTTACATAACATGAGTATAAAAGTATATAATCGGCATATTACAACAATGCAAACATCTTTTGTGTGTGTCCTGCATTACCTGAATAGGTAAGTTAAATGGAAAATAAAAAACTAGTAGGGTGACCTGAAATGTAAATTAAATTACCTGTTGGTTTTACAAGCCATTGTTCATTTTCAATTGTCGAATTTATATGTTTAACAGCTTTCCTGGCTGACTTAGATGTTTTAAATTCAACAAATGCAAATCCACGAAATGAATCAGAATTATGATAGCTGGAATTTAAAAAGTATACAGATCGATACATAACTATAAGGAATTCAATTTTGTACAGGATATTAACGATTACACAAGATGCTTAACTACAGATAAGTTAGTAATAATGTAACTCTCCGACTTGAAGGTTTATGTAGTAGACTATGACCCAATAAACTGCAGTGTCCGACAAAACAATTATATATATATATATATATATATATATATATATAAAGACACATTCACCGAAAATAATATAATTCCTCCTCTACTGAGTTTTCTCGTCCATGGCGTCAGTGGCACAACGGTAGAATGCTCGCTGACAATGCATATGGCCCGCGGTTTCCATCCCCGACCACGGACGCACTCCTTTACCTCGCTAACCCAGTAGAAAAACTGGTAAAGAGGGACGGTTGGGGTATGAAGCTAGCAACCCCATCCCGTAAAAATTATAAGCACCACTGCTACCGAAACTTCAAGCCTCTAGCTTGAAGGCGCCCTATTTTTCACTGGTAACGTAAAGGAATAAAAAAATTAATTAATAAAAACTGAGTTTTTTCGTATACAATTTCATAATCTAAACATACAAATATACACTGAACCGAATGTTTTAACGTAGAACATGAAAACTAGTTGAATTACAATAATGTACAACATTGTATCAGAACATGTTGATGAAGACGTTTGCATACGCAAAAAGCAAAGTGTGATTTGCGACCTAAAGACAGCAATCATTTCCACCGACTGAGAGATGTTCGGTTGAAAATAGAATGTTGAGAAAGTATATTATGCTAATCAAAACATTCTACTTGAATTTATGCAGTTATGCATAGACTGACTGACTGACTGGCTTCAACATAGAAATTTGCACCGATGTGCAGCAGTTCGAGACGCCACACTTCACTCAGCACACAAAGCCAGAGAATAAAGTAAAAAAAGAAATTCGAAATAGAGACAGTAAAAAGAGATATAAGGCAAAGAGAATAGTAATATCGAAGAACAATATAGTTTCATTGGGCACTATAAGTCACAAGGAGTGGATGCATCTGCGCCAGCCACTGAGAACGATTTTGAGCCATATCACCAATTATCTCCAGTCTCCATTGGCTTTACCACCCCGAGGATCTCAACCAGTAAGTTTACATCTCCCTACGTGACTGGCTTAAACTAACTGTTGTGGATTTCATTGACTGATGAAGCCATGTTTTGGTTTGACCACCACTGGCTCTTTACCAACCTGATCCTATGTCAGCTAACATTGCACGTTGAGGAAGGCGACGTCTAGGCAAGCATATGTAACACATATCCTAACCATCTCAATCGATATAACTTCACAACCTCGTCTATTGATTTCTCCTCTTTACCTAGCACTCGATCTATGCCTAACCTCAATATTGCTAACACTATTATACCATTTCACATGGACATAGAACGCAGGCATCTATCACTAAAGACAGCTAGCCTTTTTATGTTCTCTATTCTCAATGGCCAGGTCTCACAGCCAGTCATAAAGAAGAATTGAACGGACTGCTGAGCAGTATATATACCCTTTGACCGACAGCTGGATATCATGTCTACTACTAAGTGAGAGATGGAGTAAGTTGACATATGCTGAACGATCCTTCTGTATCCGTGCTAAGACTTCGTCAGCCATCAACCTGTTGGGGCTGACTGATGCAACGCCCCAAATAAGTGAAGTGGTCAAAACGCCCCATCAACCACTTCAGTCTCTATCTTTAAGCTAAGAGTAGCCGATGTAGTCCAGTCCTGTAGCATCATCTTACATTTCACGGGAACGAATCGCATGCCAAACATTCGAAGGTTGCTCGCTGTTCAAGGCATTAAGGAGACTCTGCATTTTGTCAGAGTCTTCCACCCACGTGGGAGGACTATATCATCCACATACTCAAAGTCAATGAGGTTATTCCCTGGTGGTAACAAGTCAATCCCTGAGTCGCTGAAGTGAGTTAGGGTTAATTCCATTAGTACATCTCTGATGAAATTGAATATAAGTGGGGATAGTGGGCATCCATGTCGGGCACCACTTATGCATACACCAGTTATGCATAAGCTTACAGAGATATGCCGTCTGAAGTGACGATAATCATCAGTACCCATCAGGGATGGCCAATATCACCATTCTTATATAGTTTCACTATAGACGTACGGATGGGTATCATTCCATTTGGCGTTGACGTGTCAGAAATCAACTTGTGACCAAAAAAGGTTGCATAGATTCACAGTACACGTCCTTTCATGTAAAGAACTGTGTTTCTCCATCAAAGAACGCTCCGTTCTACTTAGCTGACATGACAGCTTAAAGTATATGATAAAGAATTAGAGGCTTTTGATTAAAGAAATCTTAGTTAAGTCGCGCTCACGCTAGGCACAACAAGCTGGTAAGTAATGAGCCTAGGCAGAATTTTGTAAAGATAGAAAGTCATTATATGAAGTGGTGAGTCTCTGTTGTTTAAAGTATTTAGAACAGTTAGTACATACAAATTCTTTTTCTGATTACAGCTTGATTCCACACCGTATTTTTTGGTACAGGTATGGAATTTTCAGCATGTGATATCGGTAGCCCAAATTTTGCAGGCCGTCCATAGATATCAGGTGTGCGTTAGCAGGGGGTCGAACCCCGGACCACGTGCATGGTCGGCGAGAGTCCTAACCACTGTGCCACCGAGCCATTGCTTTTCTTAACAAGCGATGAAAGTCAGAAATGTAAAAACAATTAAAGTTTCTTTGCCTCTTGAAGATATTGATCACAAAAGGCTTTGGTACTTGAAACAATGGTCTCTAGGTTTGAGTCCCACTGAAAACACAACCACAAAGTGTGATGCAGATACTTCGAGTTAAGTCATAACTTGTAATCAATCTAGATGTCGACAAAGAGCGGAATGCTGTAAATTTACTTGGTTAAAATATCTTTACCGATAAAGGAATTTATAGGAAGATGACCTTTTGCTTTACAAGGGTGGAGGGGAAACATACCGAGGTAGACTGACATAAAGAACTTCACCAAATTCTTCAAAAGTATTCCGAATCCAGTCACTAAATTCCCAGCTTAGATTGTTTGCATCGCCTGATTCCAAATTTTTCTGTGAACTGTTGTTATCCTCATCACCGTTCATACTTATTCCAACAGGTGAACGTGGCAGTTCTGTAACCAAGATCGTTCTCTTTTCACGAGGTCCCAACTCTGTTAACGGTAACACTCGGACAATGGCTGTACCTAAGTTTTGATTAAAGTAGAACAAATGAAACATTTCAATTTGGTTTAAAATATATAACGTTTTGAAACATCCAATTTTTGTTGGTTCAAGAAAGGAACAATAATTTTATTCAGTTACACGGATACAGGACACAGGAAGTAGTAATCTTACTCAGTTAAATGGTAAAAGAAAAAATAACTAAAATGAGATTGTGGAATTACACAAATCTCAAACAATTTACGCTTGGTCCATAAACTTACCATCATCGGAAACTTTTAAGATTTTAGAGGATTCCACAACTTTTCTAAGTATATCCTCAGTTACATTCATTGCAATCAAACGATTACATTTTAAAAGTAAGGCGATTGGTATACCGCTATCTTCTCGTTTATCCATTTCTTGTCTAAAGAAGCTATCCCGATTTAGGTTGCCTTCACTTAGGTAGAATTCAACCTGACGTAATATCTTTGATGCTCTTTGAACATCTGGTGTTAGGTTCTTAGAAGTTTCCATGAACTGAAATAAAGTCAACATACAATTAAACAAGTTATTTCGAAAAATGATTTGAGTGTTTAATTGATGCACAATTAGTTGATTTTATTTTTTAATATTCTGTTGCGTTCCCAGTGGAACATTAGGCTTCAAGCTTTAGGTTTGAAGTTTCAGTAGTAGTGGTGTTAATTTTTACGGGGTGGGGTTGCTAGCCCCTTGCCCAACCTTCCCTCTTTGTCAGGACTGTAACCGGTTAAGGGAGGCAAAGGTGTGCGCAGGCCGGGACTCGAACCCCGGGCCACATGCATGGTCGGCCAGCAGCTCATAATACTGAGTCATTATTCTGGGTGGGTAGAAGACAGCATAACTTGGTTCAGCAGTACACCAGCTGAAAGTGTCACACTTTGAAATGCAAAAAGAAAATAAGAATGCCCAACACTGTAACGAAACAAGTACCAACAGTAAGTATGCTTTATATCATTACAGTTAATTACTATAAGTTTGCATTACTCATGCAGGAAGCTGAATGATTATTATCATACCTAATAATGGGATTCGCTGCAGTTTTAAGCAAGAACTTATAGTTTCTTATTGATTATTTGTACGAGAGGTGAGACAGTCCCCAGATGCTGACATCGAGACAGGAGTTTTAATACTATTTTTTTATATTTTTATACAGCCTGACTCCACAAAGTATTTTTGGTACTAGTATGGAATTTTCAGCATGTGGTATCGGTAGCCCAAGTTTTGCAGGCCGACCACTGATATCGATTGTGCGTCGGCAGGGGATCGGTGAGAGTCCTAACCACTGTGCCACCGACGCACAGTTACTGATACATCTTGAGTTGAGTGGATGGTTTTATCCGGAAAATGCCTGATTTATTCTTACCAATAAATGGGCTTAATTAATTTCACTAAATGATCTGCTTATAATTGGCAGAAATAAATTGTATCGCTGTCAGATACAGAGGAAAAAGAATCCATAGAAGACTGTTAATATTTTCTGAGTAACTACGTAAACTTTCAGCATGAATCCAGTAAGAGCCAGAGTTCGATTCGGTTGACCAAACAAAGCGTCTGGAAGAAAATAAGTCTAATTAGTACATTTAGGTGCCCGAATTTTAACTGCTAGGAAACAAGGTCCGAAACCAACTCTATCTAGTAAGGTTGGAGTAACCAGGAAGTTCCATGAGACTTCAAATAACACGTATGGCTCATTACCAAGAGTATGTAAATGATAATGATTATTATACTGGTATTTCAGTTACAGTTAGTTGAGATCTCATTGGATATAGAAAATTATGAGGTTCCCATCCAGGTGTTCATCGAAAGAATATTCTAACTCTTACAATAAAACAGTAGTACAGCTAATAAGGCAACTGAAATTACGCTTGACCTTTATGATCTTATTTCAACTAACTTGTGTTAGAAACTCATATTAAGTACTTCAAGAAATAAAAACGTGTGACAATCATCAGAAGCAACAGTGTTTAGTTGAATACCGGATGGATTAGGTACACTGAAGCATACTCGGAATCCCGAAAGGTGCTCTAGAAGGAGCGACGTTCTTGTACATGCCTTCGGCATCTACGGCTGATAGGGGTGGGGCAATATACTTTAATACATGCCTGAGTTGTAGAGGGATGACGCCAAATAGCACTACGGTGATTGCTTTATCAGAAACTGGTAATAGTTAGGAACAGGTTTTAGTAGGCTTGAAGCTAAAAAAGGATAGTTTCCACATACTAACTTGCCGCCACATAGCCCACCTTTGTCATCTAAACGACTACTTCAAGCCTAGATGTTCCACGTACGTATACAAGTCCCCAACTACCACCGCAATGTGTGCTGAATTCGCCTATCTGAGTTCACACAGCTCCTGGTAGAACTCATTTCAAATTGCATTCAGGTGGCAACCTATTGATGTGTCGGTATAGACAACCTGAAGACTTTTCTAACTCTGATGTGTAGCTCTAGCCAGAGAGCACAGCTAGCAAAAGCTTCGGGCGCATCGTGGAACTCATATGCACTGGGTTGTCAGTATTTGCAGTGTGCCTAAAATGGTCACAGTGCGCCCTACCTAATCGCAAAACTTAAACATAATACACCAAGTACAAACTGACACGCTCAGCCACCTCCATGCTACATATCTAAAGTGAACTATTGGTTTCTGCATCCTATCTATATTGGTCTAAAACTTTCAATAGTTTATTAAGACTCAAAGACTCGAACTCGGTAACGCTGGTTAGTCTCAATGGCTGCTTTTAATAAAGATATAGTCTAGAACTGCAGACTGTCCTACAAACGAAAAACTCCAAAAAAGGACAGTCAAACCCGTAAGTGTCTGACATGTTTTGTTCATATTACTTACAGTGCGCGTAAAATTCCGTGATGACCAAACTAGGTAGCATTTATACTTGTGGCTGTCGATAAAATATTTGCATTTTGATAATGTTTCCCAGAAGTCTCCCTACTTTCGGACAAAAGCCTACAAATTTAAATCCTTCATAGTGAAGTCATTGTAGTAACTGAATCTAACTTTGGCCAATGCCCAAAAATAAACAAAGTGTGCTGCTAATTCTTATTGGTCAGAAGGGGAAAGCATCCCAAGCTTGCAGTAATGATAAAAAAATTCTGAACCGTGAGTAGATAATACGCTCTAGATGCTGTGTAGTGAAAATGAACACAGCCTATGCAGACAGTGGTCAAAAATAGCATTTGATGCAGAAGTAATGAAGACAGTATTGACACAGTGCTCATCAGTGCTGGACTAGTGCTTCACAAAATTAAGAAATCTGAGGAGATTGCAGGATATTCAGAGGCGACTCAAGGCAGAACTTTGGGGGGAATGTATCATTTTCCCCCAAAAAATCCCTAAATATGCAGCAAATATTTTTATTTGGGCAAGAACTGGAAAATGGCAGGAAATGCTAAACTAATGCGATGGTACAGTACTGTATAGAGCGGAAAATTCAGTCACTATAGTACTAGCTCACCATAGGTAAAGCTCCAGTTCAGAGTTTATTAGCACGACTTCTGAAGCAAAATCTAAAAACAGTTGTAACCTTAGATAGGACATTACGCCATACAAATCGATACACATTATTAGTGCATAATGCATATGGAAGAGATGGATTTATGAACATAATACCCAACGACTAATACTGATTTCGGTAAACATACACAGTGCGCCACTAAGTGACCTTGTACATACAGTCAGGGTAAGGACAGCTTTCAAAATCGTTCCAATTCAAACTCACATTTTTAGTTGAAAATAGAAGGCTTCAAGCCTTTTAGCCCTCATCTAATAAGTATCTGTGGGGAAACTTAAACTTTAAGCACTATTAAGTACCAATGGACAAATGACCCTGAACACACCCACCAAATGATGAAAGCGATTTTTGCTCATAAAACACATACATTCATCAAAATAATGAGTTGAAAGGCGTAAAACTGTCAAACAGGACATCTTTTTCTAATGTGTGTCAAGAACTCCCTTCAGTTTTGGATTGGAGAATCAGCAAAGTAATATAACCACATTCTATGCATGTATTTATCTAGGTCTTCAAACTCTAACAGTTACCCCAATCTTCCCTTAACCTTAGCCTAACGCGAAAATATCTCTTAACTAGCCCCAACCTAACTCGAACCAACCCTTATGTCGCCCTCAATAGATCTACCTAACCCTAACTTGTCCTTAGCCTAAACCTTAACCTAACGTCAACAAACGCCTGAAAAATTGGAAATTTGTCTTTGTTAGAGTCGACACCGTCAGAAAAGGATTGCAACCTCCATACGAAGGTCCCTTCCAGGTCATTTAACGTTCAGACAAACACTTTACAGTGAAAAAACGGAAAACGTGAGAATATTTTCATTGATCGAATCAAACCAGCCTACACAGACGGAGGGAGGCATGTAGAGAACGTAACAATATGATTGTACACATTTTGTTAGATGCTGAAATCACAGAAATTGTACATGACCTTTATTTAAAACGATTCATGTTTAAATACAAATAACTTCCGAGTACAATCTGAAATACAGTGTACTCTTGGTCGCTTCGCCTTCCCACTGGTCTATACTGTCTGCTTGCTCCCCTCATAACCGTGTTGTATACTTTGGATTCATTGAAGGAACCTATTATCCTCATCCGAAGAAAATTCTACAACCGGTACACAGCTTCTATCAGTAGCCCCGATTCCAGCAGTGAATGCTTCTGCGGATTATTTTAATAATTTGTAGCCGTGGACTTTAGCTGTATATTCAAGTAGCCGCTTAGTTGATATAACGCATTGCTGTATTTTTTATAATATATTGTTACACTATCATCTCATCAATTTGGATTTTTATTCGCATACTTGATATGTTATTCAGCTCGCTAGACAATCCCCTACAAAACTCCCCGAAACTAACCTGAAAATTGTTAGATATTCCGTTTAACAATATAACACTTCTCTAAGCATATTTTATTTATAAATGCAATATTATTTACCAGGTTCTACTAACTTGCTCACTGAGCGTTTCAAGGTCATCGGTGCTGTTGTACTCCAGTGGTACTCACTGATGCTTAGAGTTTAACTTGGCCTATCTGTTTTTGTTGACTCCCTTCTTCAGCTAATCATCTGGAGTAGCCAACTCCACTTCCGTCGAGAGTCTGTTCCAGAAGCTTATGGCTCTACGGTAACACCAGTACTCCACGTCAAAAAACTACCTCCACGTATTTTGAACTGTCCTGAAATGTTATCTGGAATGTTCCCGCACGGTGGAAGAGAAAACAACGCAGATCACATATACGGTCACCCCTTACAATTTTAGACATCCTGATTAGATCTGCAGTCTGTCTCACAGTATGTTTAAAGGGATTTAAGCTGTTATACCACTATTCCTATGATAAATCGTTTCATACTGGAACGTTCCTTTGAGCTCTTTCGAGAATACATGAGGGCTCTTTGAACAAGGGCCGTCGGCCCGGACCCAATTTTATAGTCCTTACTTCACCTCATCACCCTGCTGGTGATTCTAGGAAAGGTCCTGAGAGCCGCCTATAGGAATCTGAAGTTTTGAGCTTCCACCGCGTGATAACGTGCCAAGGACTAAAGTCAAAACCTACTATGCCACCTAGTACCAAGTGAGTATGGATTGATGGGAGTAGTATTCTCTTAGCGTCATTTGCAGTCACACTTGCCTACCCGATGTACGTTTTGCTGAGATGGTAAGGAGAATCCAGTCTTTGGACTGATCCGGTAGCTTCTTGAGGCCTGCTCGCAATGTAAGCATATTGCTGTCATCCTTGGGCTCTCTTTAGATTTTCGGGTTACCTTTGTAGAGAACTACAGGAGATTTGGAGAGCCCACATAATTCGACGGTATCGTGGACAGAGTACAGTACCACGGGGCGCACCACTACTTATCGTTGTCCATAAAGAGAGATTTAGGTCATTCTTTGCTCTGTCTCCAACCTAGGAGATTCCTCTACCCATCTCGGATGCTCGCTTCTCATTCCACAGCTTTCCAACACCCTGAGCACTCTTGCGTAAGAGACTTTCTTGAAAGCTTTGTCAAAGTCTACAAAAACCACGTCGGTGGGTCCCATGTAGTCTCCAGACTTGACCAAAATGTTCTTTGCTGTAAGATGGTTATCCGGACGTGAAAGGTCCATCTGGAAAACATGCTGTAGGACGATCACTGCGTGAAGACTTTGGAGAAGTAGTCTGCCATTGCTTCCTTCTCTTGCTGGTCCTCTTTGACTGCATTGGTGTCAGCAGTCAGTTTCGGTACTCAGATGGAATTCTTATTGTTGAACTCAGTACACGAAAACAATTCTCACATCGTATTATTTCATTTTGGGCTGCATACACTTTCCACTTCCCCTGTAATTGACAAATTCGTGCACTACCTTTGTTTCCGGATGCGTCGTGAAGCCTTCTGGCCTCTGAAGTCCTGAAGGTGATAGGCAACGTCCCATATCTTTCAAAATTTCGATTGTTTTCTACGGGCTATTGTACTCGACCAGTAAATAGACAATATTCAGCTATTCCAGGGAGAAAAACTAGCGATCACAGTTTTATGTTATAATATGTTCCAATACGTGGATCCATTCTTCTCAGTTTCTGGAATTTCGTGATGAATATTAGGGCAATACACAAGTGTAACTGAAATTAGCTGCTCCTTCGGTTTTCAAATATTTTAATACATTACCACATTACCTTATTTGGTGGGCTGATCTTCCTTTTACAAATAAAGGCAGACCCAGCACAAAGGAAAACTATGGAAAAGTCTTTTGCCTTGTGTTTTGAAAGCATCAAAGTTGTAGAATAATAGCAATTTTGTTGTCCACAATTCTCATGCTGTTACTTTTGTTTATCTATTTTTATCTTTTTAAAAACAAGGTAGTTCTCTAGTCTCCACAGCCACTATATATATTATTTACCTACATACTCGGTTTCATTTTCCATCACATCTTGTTTGAAATTGATTTAATTTGTACACCGTGATAGCCCAACGAAGTAAACAGACACCTTCTGAACGCAAGCATAATTCGGGCCACACAGCTCAAGTGTTACGCCCATTATTCCACGTACCACGCAGATGCAACGATGTTCTTGACTCTCCCTGAAGTCTGTAGTCAGTCAGTAAATGAAACAAACCGGACTTTATATCTCTATGGAATCCTTTGAGGGGATTCAGTGCCAAAACAAGTAACATTATGCCGTCGTTGTTTCTTTGTGGCTCAACTCAAGAAAACAACTTGGAAAATGTGCTGAGATCAGATTGTGTAAGACTTCGCCGCAAGTGAGGTTTCTAAGAGAATCGTGTCCTCTTACAAGGTGCTGGTACACAATCTACCTGTTTGCGTATCATCCGACTATTTCAAGGCCGTGGGTTTAAGGCGTATAGCGCATCCCCATCAAACTGTCATCTAAGCAGGCTTAGAAAAAGGTCTGGAGATTTCACGTGACCAGCCCCATTCAAACTGACCAGCCGTAATGACGCCCAAAAATCCTAATCACCTGACAAGCTTTATAGTTCACTTACATCTCGTAGTGGCATTGAACCTGCTCGTGATTTAACGTCACGCCAAATACGCAATTGTGTGAGAGTATCCGATGTCACACATCTGACCAGGAGACTTGACACAAAAAATTGCTATCCACTTTAATCCCCCTATTAACCTGAACAAAGCGAATATGACTTGTTACCACTACTGACTTAAAGTCCTTGGCAAGAAAAGTCACTCATCATGTCATCGTACGCATACAAAATCTCCACCTGTGGAAGCACGACTGGCGCCATCCTCCTGGGCCATCCCTTAACTCACTCAAACATCTACCTATCTGACTCTTCAAAACTATCTTATCTACTGGTAAAACATGCCGAAATGTAGTCCAGAGCACCCTGCAACAGTGAACCAGTAGATTAAGTATCTTATAAAGAGGGACGTCTTAAACACCGTATCTCCGGGAACCATATGATCCAAACAGGTGGAGACCACTCACGGACCAGTTTTTACAAAAATAAAAAAGCACGAGTCATAATTAAGGCGCATATAACTTCACTCTGGCTGATTGTCTGCACGAAATGCCCACCTCCCTCGAACACCTAATCCATATTTTCTTAATCAAATAGAAATCTCGACCTCAATGTTGATATAGATGGCACATATGCTGTGAAAACCACTCGCCCCAAAGGAGGAGGATAACGCACACCAGCCACAATATTGTGAACATCTTATACTACCCGAGGTAACCACCAACACCATCTTTCCCTATGCTGACATTGGTGCAACTTACTGTTCCGGCACTGCCAGCAAGTCATCATCATCCCAATCAGTACCTGTCAAACAACCCACCCCAGACGCTACAAACATGATGAACAACTTTCTTAAGGATATCTGAGACTCCATCGTCACTACTGACTCTCATTCTGTCTGATCAACGCCCATTGCTTACCCAATAAAGCGTTCGGCCTCATGACGTCACACTTAATTTGCGGCCGTCCCTCATAATGATTAATGAAACATGGTGTACCCCTCAGATTTGCGATAGGGACATTTCTATTGGTAACTAAAGTTTATTCAAGGGTGACG